TCAGCTAAACTTGAACATCACCTCTTGACTCTCCTGCTCTCTCATACTTGGTCTTGGTGTACCGTTTCAACGTTTCTGAGACATCCACTGATAACTCAGTCATCTTATTCATTCCTGTTACTTGAATAGCTAGCACCTGCCCTGATAGAATGTAGACCCCATAAAAGCCATCACCACTGGCATGCCCATGTTCATCTCTATTATAGCCTTGATATCAGACAGTCTTTTAATAAACAAATACCTTTTAATAAACTTATACCTTGAGAACTACAGGAAGAACTCATGTTCAAGATAATGATATTCAGATGTGCTGTAAGATTCTCTATTCTCAAAGAAAATTTTCAATGAGTTCCATAAATTAATTAAAGCAGGGATGTCATGCTATATTAATATATTATGTTAATACACTTAGAAAAATTTCCAACTAAAAAGACTTTCTGCTTTTTTCTTTAGTTAACCAGAAAATTAAATTAACTCAGAGCTCCTCATTCCCCAAAGTCCTTGTTAATTAGGATTGTTCTATAAATCTCTATTATTAGAGGAGTTTGTCATCTGTTTCATTACCCTGTTTATTAGGGCAGTCTGAGCAGGGTGTCTTTGCTCATATCCTGATGTGTGTGTCCTAGTGAGAAGAAACATTTCCTGCATTCTCATTTCGTCCCTATTTGTTAAGGCACATTTCATGCTATTAGTATAACAACTTGGTTTATTTGTGTCAGTTCCCTGGGTAAAGGAGGAATGATATCATTGACTTGGCTATTAAATATAATAATTAAATTCAAATGGTGTTAAAGATAAAAGCTTGCCTGCTTTGCAGCATTATGTGTGATAAAGACCAATTGAAGACAACCTGCAAGTCCGTCAGTGGAGGACTGGGAAATAAATGATAGTGTGTCCACACAGTGGACTATAATGCAACAGTAAAATATAAAGACATTCTCTGGTTTTAGTTTAGAAAGAGCTTCATGTATTTGGAATAGTACGGATAGTATGATATCTCTTTTAATACCTTCAATGAGATCTCACACAACTCATTTCAAGTATATATTCTAAGAGTTGTTCTTATGTTGACAGTTGTGTAATCATTACATTAACCAGTTGTGAACATTTTTATTACTTAAAAAGAAGGATCCCTGCCAGGCGGTGGTGGTGCATACCTTTAATCCCAGCACTTGGAAGGCAGAGGCAGGCGATCTCTGTGAGTTTGAGGCCAACCTGGCCTACAGAGCAAGTTCCAGGACAGGCTCCAAAGCTACACAGAGAAACCCTGTCTCAAAAAGCCAAAAATAAATAAAAATAAAAAAATGCTTCATAAACATTCACAGTCATTCCAGACTTCTCAACCTCACACCACATATGGCTATTCTCTCAGCCCAATCCTTGTAAGCTTGTTTGTTTGTTTGTTTGTTTGTTTGTTTGTGACAATCTCACTATGTAACCTTGGCTGTCCTGGAGCTAGTTACGTACACTAGGCTGGCCTTAAACACACATCGATCCACCTGCCTCTGCCTCACAAGTACTGGGGTCAAAGACATGCGCCACCATGCCTGGCCTTATAAGCTATTAAGTAGAATTATTTGGTTAGAACATAGAGCATGGCTCATGTGTGGAGGACAGAGAACAGTTTGTAGGAGTCGGCCTTCTCCGTCCATTCTGCAAGACAAAGGCAACTCATGTCGTCAGGCTTGGTGGCAAGCTCCTTTATCATCTAAAACATCTTGCTGGTCCACTCTTTGTTTTGGGGGGTGGTGTCTTATTGTGTTTGTGTGTCTGTGTGTGTTTTATACATATGTGGACTCACATGTGTGTGATTGTGGAGGCCAGGAATCCACCTTAGGCAGTTTTCCTCAGGAACCATCCATGTTGTGTCTGTGCATCATTCATGTATGTATGTATGTATGTATGTATGTATGTATGTATGTATCAACCCTGTGCCAGCCTACAATAAAATATCAAACAGTATTTCTTATCTCCAGTCCTGCTATACACCTTTAATCTCAGGATTTGGAGGCAGAGGCAGGAAGATCAAAGCTAGCCAGGCCTGCATAGTGAGTTCCAAGACAGCCAGGGCTACACAGTGAGACCCTGTCTTGGGTGGGAGTGTTTTTTGTTTATCTTGTTTTGTTGTGCATTTTTTGTTGTGTTTTATTTCTGGCTGGGTTTAATTAGGGTTGCTTTCATGAGCATAGGAGTTCACCAGAGCATGAGTGACTTACCAGCAGCTATCACCGCTGAAGAAAATGAGTTCCCCTCCCCAACAGTAACCACTACCACCAATAGCTCTTCAGAGATGGGGTGGCTTGTTGGTTTGTTGTTTGTGTGAGGAGGGGTTAAGACTGCATCTCAGTATTGTAGTTATGCTTGGGCTGGAACCCAAAGAGATCTGCCTTCCTGGTGCTTGGATTAAAGGTGTATGCCCTTACAACCAGCTTTGTTTTGTTTTTTAGGTTTTGTGTTTTCTGTCAGTTTGTGTTGGGGGAGGGTGTGTATAGAGGTCTGAGGACAACATTGAGGAATTTTTCTCACCTTCCATCTTGTGAATATAGGGTATCTCTTGTTTTTGCCCCCTGGCCCATCAGCTTTTTCCCAGCAGGAGTGTTGGCTTTTTATGGGTTTCCGAGATCAAACTCAGTCCTCATGTTTGCCAGGCAAGCACTTTACTAACTGAGTCATCTCTCCAGCCCTCATTTTTCCACAGTTAATTATTACTCAAAGTGTTTTATGGACACGTCTGATCATTGCATAATGTAATCCCATTGTTAATAGTAACTATCATTACTTCACTCATTCTCCTTATTCAGTGCCCAGTTGTTCTAGGTTTGTAGTTCATTCCCTGCATAATGTGTCTTATGCTTGGAAGTAATAAAGCCAGATTTCTCTATAAATATTTATGGTGTAGACCTTTTCTTAAATCAGACTGCAGCCCTTTTCCAATTATTTCTAATAAAGTCTGCTTGTATCTCTTTTATTTTTTTCTCCTGTGTAACCATATGTACTGTATGCTCCCTAGAAACTCCAATCCTCTATATTTATACCATAACAGCCAATTAATTACAATCCTGTTAACTGCCATCTAGGCTCTAGAGTTACAAAGTGTGGAAAGTTTATTTGCTTCAATTTTTTTTGTTTTTTGAAGCAAGGTTTTACTGTATAGCCCAGGCTGACCTCTGTGATCCTGCTGACTCAGAGTCCCAGGTGCTTAGGTTATACTCATGAGTCATCTTACCAGTGTTGATTCGAATTGAATAGATAAATCTGGGATTTTAGCATCCAGGGTTGTACAACCTTTCAACACTGCAAATATGACTTTGTCATCTGCAAATGTGCTGGGCCACTATCCTAGCTGTCCTGAGACCTATGAAGTCTGTGTGGCCACAGGCTAGAGCCGCTTGACAATGGGCTCACTGGCTGCTAAGCATTTGTTTTCTTGAATATCAGCATTTCTGAGATCAATTTCATTGGTTTTTGTTTGGTTTTATGAGATGAAGCCTTACTTCGTAGCCTGGACTGGCCTCCACCCCAAGATCCTCTGCTTTAATCTCTGCAGTCCTATGATTACAGCATACTTTACCTCACTCGTTCAGTAGGATCATCTTTTTCTTTAACATATCTGTGTCTGTTGTGTTGAATCTCTCTTTGAGCTGAAATGGTAATGAACTCCTGTAATCCCAGACCTTGGAGGATGCGATATTCAGAAAGGAAGCACTGCTGCTTGTTGTTAGCCAGAGAGTGTCGCCCTGTCCTGGTAAAACAAAAGTTTCTTCTGAGATTTTTTTTTTTTTTTTTTAAGAAAGGGTCTCATTATAGGCCAGACTGGCCTCAAACTCATAATACTAACTTCCGCCTTTGCTCCTCAAGTGCTGCGATTGCAGTCATATGCTACACACCTGCACACATGTGCAAAGCAGGCACACACCTTAATTCTAAAGACCTTTTCTCAGTAAGATCTTTCTTAAATGTTAAGATCTCCTACTTCCTCTTTGGAAGTCATTAGCCAAGTCTGTCTCCATAGGATGCAAATTTGTCACTTCAGAAGTTCAATAAGTCCAATAAGAAAACACTATGCAATCATTTGCAGATGTCTGTCTGCTAGGCCAGATTTCACCAACGTACTCCACAGCTGTCATGGGCTAAGCTTAGAGTCCTGAATGGGTTTCCTCTGTAGGGAGAAGGGCAAGCCTTGCACCAGATCACACTGTCCGTGCTGCCTGGCCTGTGTATTCTGTGGTAGCTGTGCCTTATGCTAGAGGCTGGGAAGTTGGCAAAAGATAACCAGATTAGGTTATCTGCAATAAACCAACTGAAATCAATAATCCTTGGCATGAACAGGAAGTGTGCCATTGTGATTTTTCTGTAGAACAGCACTCAAGACTGATTATTTACATTTTAAAATTTGAAGCTCTTTTAGTGGATCTAAGATGTCACTGCCAGCAACCCAACCAGTCCACTAGAGCTCAAGATCCAGTCCACAGAAGCACTTCCTTCAGCTCATGATTTGTTCAGTCACTGAACTGTCCAAAAAAGAGTGCTGCTACCATTTCCAGTAGCTCCCAGGAACACAAACTGTCTGTGTGTGGTTCTCATAGACAAACACCATCTTTTTTTTTTTTTTCAAAAAGCTGTCTTTTTTTAAAGATTTTATTTATTTATTATGTATGCAGCATTCTGCTTCCATGTATATCTGCACACCAGAAGAAGGCACCAGATCTCATAATGGATGGTTGTGAGCCACCATGTGGTTGCTGGGAATTGAACTCAGGACCTCTGGAAGAGCAGTCAGTGCTCTTAACCTCTGAGCCATCTCTCCAGCCCCAACAAACACCATCTTAATGTTGATTGTTACATGAAATGTTGGTTTGCACCTTGGTTCCCAAGCCCTCCAGTACAGAATACAGGCTACTATCTCTGACACTCCGTGAGTGTCAAACTTTGACAGGTGATCTTACGTACTGAGCATTACGAAGAGAAGTTAATCTGCCTTTCTTTTGTTTTTCTTACAGAAAATGAAGTCATGGCTTTTGCTGTCTTGGATCAAAACCAGAAAGAAATCATTGACACCAATGGAGCTGGAGATGCATTTGTTGGAGGTACAGACTCACTTACTTCATGTTTACTCATAAGTCAAACGTTTTAACCCTGGTCTCTAGCCAGAAGCCAAGACTTATTAATTTAACAACCTTTCATTTCTTTTTAAAGTAATTAACTCCCAGTGTTCCTTCCATCTGCTACTATCTTGTATTACAAGGAGATTTTACTACAGGATTGATAAGTGTTTGGCAAAGATCATTTGCTACTATGTTCTACCCCAGTTATTTTCACAAGAGTAATTGTGTCAGAATATTGTGTGAACGAGTCACAGCAAGTATAGCAGATAGTCCACCAGGCCTCTGTGCCTGATAGTGGGCTCATGTGATACTTAGAAAGGGTTGTTTTTTTATTAATCCAGGCTCAATAAGAAAGAACAAATTTGATCCGGGTGTGGTAGTGCAGGCCTTTAATCCCAGCACTCAGGAGGCAGAGGCAGGTCAATCTCTGAGTTCCAGGCCAGCCTGGTCTACAAAATGAATTCCAAGACAGCCAGGTCTATACAGAGAAACCCTGTCTCAAAAAAATAAAAAATAAAGAGAACAAATTTGATACATATGAAATCATTTGGGGAGTAAATACTCAAAAATGAGATCAGGACAGGCAGGCTTTAAGTCTAAATTGCTTTTAAGTCTAAATTGCTCCAAGTTCAGTGTAGTTAAGCCAGGCTATGTTTCTAGAAAGCTTTAGAGCCCTGGTTGCCAGCCCACAGGAGTCTCTCCTGGTAAATAAGACAAGACGGGAAACAGTTTTAAGGACCAGTGGGGACTGTTGCCACCTTCGGCTGTGGAAGGTTGTAACATAGTATTTCTTTGAAGGTATTATTTCATTTTAATGGTCTTTTACCAATGAAAATGCTTCATTTTCTGAAACACTGTTTTCTCTTTCTCTGAACTTTGTTATTTCTGGTTTTAAGGATATAAAACTGGAACCCCACACCTTATTTTCTTTTTTCTTTTATACAGTGAGCTTTTATTATTCTTTCTTATTACACTTATTATATGTGTACATATGTTGCACTTACACAAACACACATGCTACTTTGTGAAGGTCAGAGGACAACCTTTGGAAGTCAGTTCTGTTTTCCAAGTGAAGTGCCAAGGACCCAGCCAGGATCATCAGGCTTAGCAGGAAGCATGTTCACCCGTGAGAGCTCACGGCCCCTGGATTCTTTAGAAAAGTGAGAACAATATAGAGTATCGCATTTCATGCTTGGTTTGGGTTTCCTTGCACTGAAAGGCTTCATCAGTGATAATATTAGAGCCATCTACGGCTAATTTTCTTATTCCATATTCCTTAGAGCTGTGAATCCTTGTAAGCTAAAAATATTTTATTCAGAATTAAGTCATTCTGCATAATACATTAAGGAAAACGTAGTGATTTTCTGATTGGAAATTAGTTAAACCTGATATTTTAGTCCAGAAGCCTGTATAGTTGTATCCTGTGTGCAGATTTTCAAGTACTTTAACTCTTCAAAGAAGTGCATATTCTATTTATTTGACATTTAGTAGGAAGTATAATGAGGCTATCACAGTTATGGGGGTGACCTAATTACTACCTCTGGCCCTGATCTTCTGGGCTTCCTAGCCCTGCAACAACAGGGCACACTACAGATAGCTTGCTGCATGCAGTGCCACCAATACTTAATGAGAATGGAGAGACCATGAGGGGAGGGGGCTTTTCTTAGGAACCAAACTGTGGTGAGAGTGAGGAACAGAAAAGTCAGCACTTCCTTCGATTTAAAGATTTAAAGCCTGGTGTTTTTGTTGTGGGCTTTTTGGTTTTTCTCCAGACAGGGTTTCTCTGTAGGTTTTGGAGTCTGTCCTGGAACTCTCTTTGAAGACCAGGCTGGCCTCAAACTCACAGAGATCCACCTGCCTCTGCCTCCCGAGTGCTAGGATTAAAGGCATGTCCCACCACCATCCGGCTTGTTTTGTTTTTTGAGACAGTGTTTCTCTATGTAGCCCTGGCTGTCTTGGAACTCACTCTGTTGACCAGACTGGCCTCAAACTCAGAGATCTGCTGCTTCTGCCTCTGCTTCTGCCTCCCGAAGATTAAAGGCGTATACCACCACCACCTGGCTTGATGTCTTTTTTAAAAAAAAAAAAAACTTTTTTGGTTTGTTTGTCTATCATGGGAAGTGGGCATACCTGTGCCACAGAGTACGCATTTTGTAGAATTGATTCTCTAGTTCCAGCATATTTTACAGGGTTACAGGGATTGAACTCAGATCTCTGGCTCACGAGCAAGCACCTTTAGCCACTGAGTCATCTCACCAGTCCTCACACCTCTTTTCATGTCCTTGTCATATTTATTCTGGGGGTATTGTTAGGTAAATATAAAGGAAAGGAGTCTTTAAGGGTTCTGGTTTGCTTGTTTTGAAATGGTCTCAAGTATCCCAGACAAGCCTTGACCTTATTTTGTAGTTTAAACTACTGATTCCCCTGCCTCTACCTCCTGAGTACTGAGTTATACTAGTGTGCCTGTCACTGTGCCTGTTTTATGTGTTGCCGGGGATCAAACCCAGGGCTGTGTGCAAGCTAGGCAAGCAGCATTCCAGCTGAGCCTTCATACAGAGACATTTTTAATGATGGGCCAGAGGTTGGGTTTTATAAATTATATACAAGCTTTACTTTTTTTCAGAAAGTAACACTGTAAAATTATATAATAATACTGTTCTATAGTTGTCCGGCTAAACAGAAAACAGATCAACTCCCCAATTCTCCCCAGAGGCTACATTCTGTTGACACACACCACCACCCCACCCACCCATGTGAATAAGAACAGTATTCTCAACATATTTCATTTCTAGCTGAACCAGGCTAAAGCACTGGATTTTACAGCAGACTGCTAAAATAAAAGTTGAGAAACTACGGTGGGCATGGAGGCACACATATATAAGCTCAGAACTCAGAAGGCTCAGGCAGGATTTTTGCAAGTCCAGGGCCAACCTGAGCTCTACATAGTGAAGTTCTGTATAAAAGAAGCCAAGATAAGTTGCTGACGAGATGGTCCAACAATTAGGTCTACTTGCTGATCTTCCAGGGGAGTCTGAGTTCAGTTCCCAGCACCCATGTTTCTCTGCTCACAGCTGTCTGGTCTAGAACTCCAACTCCAGGGCGTCCAACTTCCTCTTACGTCGGAAGACATCTCGACACATGTGGTACACGTACATACAAATAAAATACATACTGGGGTCGGGGGCTAGAAGGCAGGTTGAAGTTAAATAATGCCAGTGATAATCCTGGAATTAGTTACCATTTTTCTTATATAAACCTACTCTGGGGCTTAGAATATAGTCCACTTGGTAAAGCACTCACTTTGCATGTGTGAAACCCTTCGTTCTATCCTTAACATCACAGTAAAATAGTGGCTGTGCATACCTACAGTACCAAAGCACTGGAGGTGGATGGAAGCAGGAGGCTCAGGAGTTCAAAAGATCAAGGTCTCTTTCCAACATAGTGAGCTCAAGGCCAACAGGGCTACTCGCTGCTCTGAGTTCCCAGCGTCAAAATACTAGGTTATAAAATGAAGTAACACCCCAATGTCAGTTATCAGTGGAATATTCATATTGGCATAGTTAGCACATTCTGTGTGTGAGTCCCACTTTATAACAGTAACAGTAGATAACCTTTATTTTGTACCTTAACTTAGCTGGGGGAGGAGTGTTTTATGAAGGGCTGGGAATCCAACTCCAAGGCCTAATAGCATTCTACCACTGAGCTACATCCCAAGACCTTATTTTTGGTTGGTTTTTTACATTTACTTATTTTGTATTTGTATGCACGTGTCAAGGCACACATGTGGAAGTCAGAGGGCAGCTTGCAGGAGCTAGGATTTTCTTCCACCATGTGAGTCTTAGAGATCAAACTCAAGTTACTGGGCGTGGCACCAAATGCTTTTACCCACTGCCCCCAGACCTTATGTTTTTGAAACTCCGGCTGGGCTTGAATTCACTGTGTAACTCAAGCTGGATTCAAATGTGCAGTCCTCCAAAACAGGTTATTTTTAACCCTGTTTTACTAATAAGAGAAGTAAGGCAAACAGAAAGTGAGGAGCATGCCTACTGTCTAGTGCTGCAGAGCTGCAGGGTCAGGTTCCAAACCTGTGCAATTTGTTTAGAGTCATTGCTCTGACAATGCAATCACTGCACTGGATACTTGTGGAAATGCAACTTGAGAGAGCTCTCATTAAAGCTAAGAGCCACCGGCCAGCCTTCCTAACAAGCACTGGCTTGCTAAAGAGAATCTGAATAAAATGACTTCATTTACTGAAGAGGGCCTTTTGTTGTCTAATAGGATGCTGAAGACTCCAGGTAAGTTTGTTGCATCAGAAAAAGAAACTGAAAGTGCAGAATGGAAGGGCTACATGGTAAGTTTGAGCCGATAGAATGGAACAATAGAATGGAACGCAGTAGGAGATAGGCAAAACCAGATCATAAACCTCCTAGGTAATCGTGAAGCCCAAACAGGGGCTGTATGAAGCAGCTGTTTAATTGCACCGAGATAAGCTACCTGACAAATCTGTCTTAAATAGAAGTGATTTTACATCTTGAAAATAAATAAATAAGCATATTGGTTGAAACCCCAAGTTCCCATCTCCGTATCAGCAATAGCCTTCCTCTTGGGATTAAAGTAATCTGGCTGTTAAACTCCTATGTTCAACATAAATGGAGAGGCAGTGACAACTTTTACATTACTAAATAGTTTCTTTTTCTTTGCTTCATTGCCTGATTAACATATCTCCTTTATGATTGACATGTTCTATCTTTAGACAGATAATATATTCATCCTATTACTTTCAAGTTTTGCTGGCCTAAAACTATTTCTGTCTTCTGTGACTTTGCATATCTATATTCTAGCCTACAAAGTATGGTGGTGATTTAATTCTCTGAAGTACAATAATTTTCTTCTCATAAATTTCAAGGTTTTTTGCTAAAGCATCAGTCTAGCTACCTTGTGTTAATTAGATAACTCAGTACCAAACTGGCATGTGTTTCATT